CGAAGGATATTACTAGAAGATTGCTCGTCAACACGAGTTCTCGCTTCAATCACCACGAATAGTTCCAATAGTTCGAACGTTGATTAAGCAGAATCGGTTCAGTGGGACAGTAGTATGTGAATCGATTACTGAAAACCTAAATCGAATGCATGATTCAATTTTGCATTGCAGACGAGGGATAGACTATTTTGTAAGTGGAATCATCCTACCGTAGGAGACCTTTGTAATTATGGTGGTTGAGTGCTAGTGTTTAATTTAATGATAGGTTGAAGGTCGAGTAGCGATTTTAATTACCTTTAAACATAACTAGACATTTTAACAATAATTATAATACAAAGTTATTAATAAAATGTATACCCCGATAGTATGAATTTTTAACTTAAAATAAATATTTTTTTTGTAATAGTAGACGGACATTTATTTATTCAATATAAAAACACGAATTTTACCTATTTCTAATATTAGTGTAGATTATAATTATTATATCACCCGTTACCTCATATATTGTAATACAGTTTCCATCAAAGATGTAGGTAATTTACCTAATTCATATTACATAATATGGGTCCCATTATAAATGGCTCAAGAACTTTGGCAATATGTAACCATTAGCATTGAAACGGTTATCATTATCAAAGGGATCTTCAATAGATTTGTGTTCTGAAATCCGTATTGTCTAACTGCTGATCTAAGATATGGAAAGCTAACGCCTTAAGCGACCGTTTTGTACTATCAGATGAAGTGTAGAATTAATTTAATGTGTAAGTTTGATATGATATACGAGTATTTAGGCACCGATTTTAAGTTAATCAAGAGATATTTATTTTGGTACTGCATTATTATGGTGTATTATTTATTGTATTTAAATAAATATATTTTTCTTAGACTACCTACATTAAAAGGGTCTCTTTTGAAAATTAGTACGCTGTTCTCTTGAAGTACTTATTCAAATATGCTGCACAACTTCTACGGGAAGCTTGACATAGTAGTGGTGCGTGGTAAAAAAAGTGATAAAAAAGCACAGTTGTGTAACACTGCTTATCAATTATTATCAATTGTTACACCTCTCCAGTTATAAAATAATATGTTTCGTAGGTACAAACTACTATATCATGTCTATCTATTTGAAAATGTATACATTCGCATTACCAAACCAAGTAACGTGCCAGCAAATATTACTTTTAACTAGACAGAACCAAATTCAGTGGCGTTGTATCGGAGTCGAATTTGAATAGAACACGCGACCGGGTCTTGTCGCAGCTCGAATGTATCAGCCGCAGGTGGCGATTAGAGCAGATCTATGATAAGGGCACGCAATTCAGGATATAGGCAAAGATTAATCGATTGAATTCTTAAACTCATTGTTTTGTACCGACAGTACAGAACAAAATAATTTACGCTTGTCCAATTTTCTATCATACATAATACAATAAATATAATTAGTTTGTGTTGCAAGTAGGATCGGTAGTTTTGTTTATTATATCTAGACTAAGTTTAGTTAAGAAAGCAATTTAAATACTTAGATTTTTTTGGTTTGGTTATTTATAAATTGAAGAATGTATATTTATACTTAATAAAATATTATTGTTTAATAAGAACTCCATAATTTAAATTGAGTTATTTGTATACAAAAGCGCGTATTCGCGTACATATGTTACTTGTAAGTTATTTGTAAAATCTAGTTCTCTTGCCTTAATAAATAAATTTTTTTGCCAATAAATAATCCACCTCTACGATTATCTCATCTCTACATTCATATGTTATATGCCGTGCGAATGAAACCTTAATGTATTCCTACAATCTTGTTGCTACCATCTAGACGATATCTTGTGGCAACTGGGAACCCGTTAATATCGAAATAGATTAATCTAACTACCTTCAGTTAAATTCTTAATCAATTTAATAACTATTATAAGAGCACGTCATGTTGTTGATAAAGTTTTATAAAACTATATTTGACTATTATCTGTTACCGCAAATGGATTAGCAGTTTTTATGATTTTGCATTGCTAAATCACTTTTCAAAAAAGTCACTCAGTCTACTGTATTATATTGCCTTCTTAATAAAAAATCTATCAGATACTGAAAGTATTATAAATATGTATTTATTAACGTTTAAGTTTATTGTTTTTTTATGCTTCTGTTTCTTTTTAAATTTACTTTGTTTTAAACACACCATTTAACTTAGAATCTTAGAAACATTACGTTTTACGTCAGGAATCGACCACAAAATCTCCAAATTATTAGACAAGACAAGCAACAATGCTTTCCTTCACTTGTCATCCAACTTTAGCCTTAACTAGAATTCTGAACTTTAAAAATAGATTTATACAAGACAAAATACGTCGATAAACCTGTATGTTCAACGTGTATGTTATTAACTGAAGCTGTTGTATTCCCGACGTAACAGCCGTTATCCTGTCAATAAATACTGAGAAACAGAAGCAAGCTATAACAGCAATAGTGATAAAGAGAGATAAGATTCAGTACTTGTTAGTAAGCTGTCAGTAATATGGAGCAGGCATAGTTAGATTTATTTATTGATATTTAATATGAATTGTGTAAATCTCTTGGCTGAAATCCTTAGGTCGCAATCTATGCAATTAAAACACATTTTTTTTTATTTGTATCCATAATTTCATGATGTCCCACGTTGGACTAGAGATTCTGTTGACCAATCACAATGTAACGGAACGCGCCATCTTTTGTTTTAGATTTTATACTCTTATTTAATGAAGTGTAAACACAATTTATTTGTAAGACTATTTTAGTAATTTATTTAAAACAATGTAATATAGCTGATGCACATGAATCAGTAAGTGCATTAAAGGATTCGTTGGTGACTATCGCGTATTATTAGAAATATTCTAAAATCAACAAGAACAGAAACTAATATTATTTTTAATTTACGCAAATATACACATTTCTTTAACGCATAATTTAATATCAACTACGCAACAATAGATGGCGTTATAATGGCAACATTTTCAATAAATATTTATAATATCAAATAGTCAACTGGAGTCTGGAAGTGGCAGTCTCTCGCTAACCGCGATTGCTGAAAAGCACTGGAAATGTTGAGTTAATGAACAATCTGTTAAAATCGCGTTAATATCCGTTAAAGTTATCATAAACAAAACCTGTTTTAATGACATTTATTATATATTATATATAATCTATAAGTACATAAAAACGAACTATAAAATAAAAGCATAGATTGTCAAAACTGTTGAAGATCTGAATAATCCGATAAAGATGATAGCGCGAAACTCTATTTGCAGCCACGTCACGTTTACTATGACACACGTAAACACAAAAAGTCCACCCTCAGTTCGAGGTTTGTTAGAGATATAAGGGTATATTTATTATAGTAGTCAATATTAACGATGACTAAAAATGAGAAGATTTTGATGATTTAAATACTTATTGTATTTAATTCTGGAATTTACATATTACCTTCATCAAAAACTTTACTGTATATTTAATTTTAACAAGAAAATTATTTAAATAAAATCTAATACAATCATGCCATTACTTTAGTCTTAAAAGAGGTTCTCATTAAAAAATAGAACAGTGATAATCTAGTGGTAATGCATTCAACCCTTAGCCCTTGTTTTCGAACCCATGACTATGCAAATGCATTTCTATATCCGCATTTAACTCTTAGGTACTCGTACAAAAAAGCAATTAAGTATTTCGGCATATCTACACAGAGTTAGAATATCAGTACTATTTAAGGTAGCATCAGATGACTATTTATCATTATTGCAATTAACTTTCAACATAAGGTAACAAAACCTAATGCAATAATAACATATTATGCCATAGCATTAGGCCTAAATAGAACATAATCCCGAAATTCCCTTAATAACTTTGAGGAAAGTGGAAGAAGTCATTTATCAAGCTAACGCGAAGAACTCTCGACATCTGGAACTTTTGATACAGGCTGCTCAGTAAAAAGGCATTAATATCGAGGATATCGTACTACTTGAAGTGTTTTGTGGATGTTATCTCGTTTTATCACTTAAGTAAAGTCGCTTAACGCTTTTTATCTTGTCGTCAACAATTTTTTGCTGTATGAATTAAACTATATTAGCGAGTGACGGCTAGTTATATTTTTTACTATTTGATAAATAATAAAATAAAGAAAATAAAATATGTTTATTATGGAACATAAGATACATGTATCACTTATTCCACGTCATTAAATTTGAAGGCATCCCTACTCATGGCAAAGAAAAGAGGGTGTAGGCCGAGAGAAAAAGCCGGCGTAAAAACTCGGTACTCTTTTAAAACAGCAAATCATCAAACAACACTTATTTAAAACAAATATCGCAAATTGATTGGTAGGTACCTACCGGTTTTTGCTACGGAATGTCAAATATTCAAATAAGTATATCTTTTTTTAAGATTTATTTGAACAGTTTTTTTTTATCTGATGTAACTACGAAATATAATTTTAATTTTCGTCCGAAAATCTATGCGTGGCAGCTTTTAAAGTTATCTAACAAAATCGACTCATACTAACTTCTCACTGGCCTGAAAGCGACTTCACGTGTTGAACAGGGAAATCAAATTAAGTTCAACTTCACACCCACTGGCATTTAAACCCTGAAAATAGTAGCCGTCTTGTTCAGAATTCAACACGTTACGAAAATATGTGAGGGGACAACGCCAAACAAGCTTTATTGGGTATCTTCGCCAAAGCTTCTTCTGAGTTCGGAATTCAATAAGTGACGACAAAAAAAGAATTAATGTCTGAAACAATACCTGACCTGTGTTTCCGATCCTCACTTTGATGCTTCTCCCTTTTGTAACTATTTTTATTTGTTCCCAATCCTGTTTTCGTTTAAGTCTTTGAAATAGTTTCGTAACATCAATTTAATATTATAAAATGGGATTTGATTTGTGTTTTAGTAAGTTAAATAGATATATTAATTTGACTATTTTTTTCTTTTGTTGTAAAGCTTGATTAAAGAAACTCATGAAGTATTGTAGAACTACCATTGATGGTTGGGCGCGCAAGTGGCGCCGTGCGACGTGTAACGTGGTGTAACGACGTGGGGTTGATGCCTGACGGGGCGGCGGGTGCAAAGTGAGGGGTGGCCGGCGAACCGCTCTCGGCTGAAGTCGAAACAGCTCGGCTCGGCAGTCGGCCACAAGTCACGATGCGGATGGCACGCCGTCGCGTCGCCCTTCGCATTTACCGCATACACGCGACGTAAACGTAACCGGTATAGTGGACGAACGACAATGAACGGTACAAACCTCATTCTTTAGAAACTGGAAGTAAATAAGAGCATTTCACAATACTTACGGACAAATGTGTGAAAAAAATGTTACTATTGCTGACTTTTTTGTTTGTGACTCTGGATTGTAATGCGTTCGCGTCAAAAAGTGATCATAATACCTGCAAAAGTGATGGAACATCAACAACATGTAGTGTACGTGTTCTTGAATCAAATGGATCGAGATTGGTTATAGCGTCAAATGAATATACGCGCCAGCTATTTATTGAATGTAATCAATTGCTCCTGTTTGAAAGTCGTTTAGAAGCAAATTACTTTCAAAGATTTTCGAATTTGGAAGGTCTAACGTTGAGGAACTGCAAATTGCTGAGAATACCTGGCAATGCATTCGAGGGATTGCGCGACCTAAAAAAATTAACTTTACGTACAAAAAACTATGACTGGAGTTCAAACAAAAACTTAGAACTATCTTTGGGAACTTTTAATGGACTAAAGGAATTACAGGCATTGGATTTGGGTGAAAATAATTTAAAAACGATACCATCAGATGTTTTCTGCCCATTGGGGAATTTGCAAAAATTAAATTTAACGTATAATAAACTTAAAAGCGTGGACCGAATCGGATTGGGAAAAAACTGTGGTCCAGACATTTTAAGTTTGGATATAAGCCACAATGAATTGAAAACGTTGAATGAAGACTCGGAAATAGCTACACTACGGCGGCTTCAAGAACTTAAACTTCAGCAGAACAGTATCAGTGACATTTCAAGTGAAATATTCAGCGGACTAATATCCTTAAGAATTTTAAATATTTCACACAATAATCTTCAGTTTATACCCGAAGGTACATTTGCTAATACTAAGGAACTAAGAGAAATATACCTAAATAATAATCAATTATTCGAACTAGGTAGGGCAGTATTTCACCGTTTAGAACAACTTTTTGTGTTAGATTTATCTAATAATCAACTTTCGAGCACTCATATCGACGGCAGTACATTTGTAGGTCTGATTCGTTTGATTATTTTAAATTTATCTAATAATGCTTTAACAAGAATTGATAATAAAACATTTAAAGATTTATTTGTACTTCAAATACTAGATTTAAGGAATAATTCTATCGGTTATATTGAAGAAAATACGTTCCTACCTTTATATAATTTGCATACACTAATCTTAGCGGAAAATCGCTTGCATACTATTGATGAATTGCTTTTTAATGGCCTGTTTGTATTAAGTAAATTGAATTTAAATAATAATTTATTAATCAGTATCGATCCTAAAGCTTTTAAAAATTGTTCTGATTTAAAAGAGTTAGATTTAAGTTCGAATCAATTAGTGGAAGTACCTAAAGCCATTTGGGAATTATCTATTTTAAAAACTTTAGATCTTGGAGAAAATTTGATCACTGATATTAAAAATGGATCATTCAAAAACTTAGATCAATTATCTGGCTTGAGATTAATTGAAAATCAAATTGGAAACTTAACAATAGGCATGTTTTCAGATTTACCAAGTTTACAAGCACTAAATATAGCGAAAAATAAAGTACAAGCTATTGAAAGGGGATGTTTCGAACAAAATAAGCAGTTGGAAGCATTACGATTAAACAGTAATTTTATTGTTGACATTAATGGAGTTTTTTCGTCGATATTAAGTTTGTTATGGCTAGATTTATCAGAAAACCACTTAGTATGGTTTGATTATGCGTTTGTGCCCAGTAAACTGAAATGGTTGGACATACATGGTAATTATATTGAGCATTTAGGAAACTATTATGAGCTTCGTGAACAATTAAAGATTACTACTTTGGACGTAAGTCATAACCGTATCGTTGAAATATCTCCGTTAGTTATTCCAAACAGTGTAGAAGTACTATTTATTAATAATAACCGCATAACAAATGTGCAAGTTAATACTTTTATGGAAAAACGCAATCTAACAAGAGTTGATATGTATCAAAATTCCATAACACAATTAGATCTAAATAGCCTCCGCTTGTATCCCGTATCATTAAATAAGTCATTACCAGAGTTCTATATAGGAGGAAATCCTATAGATTGTGACTGCTCAATGGAATGGCTCCCTTTGATAAATAACATGACGGCTACTAGGCAGTACCCGAGAATAATGGATCTTGAGAACGTATTATGTAAAATGACTCATACTAGAAGCGTTACTCATGTAACGCTAAGTAATCTTAAAGCAACCGACTTTTTATGTACATATGAAACACATTGTTTTACGCTTTGCCATTGCTGTGATTATGTAGCTTGCGATTGTCAAATGACTTGCCCTTATAATTGTTCTTGCTACCATGACCCTACATGGCACACAAATGTAGTAGATTGCTCTAGCCAACGTGCGGCTGTTATCCCAGAAAACATACCAATGGATGCGACTGAGGTTTATTTAGACGGTAATAAGTTTAAAGAATTGCAAAATTATGCATTCATCGGTAGAAAAAACATGAGATCTCTTTATGTAAATTCTAGTGAAGTAGAAAGCATACAGAATAGAACATTTACTGGTTTGTCATCCCTCGCCATATTGAATCTTGGAAACAATAAACTCACACATCTTTACGGATATGAATTTGAATATTTGTCGCAACTCCAAGAGCTTTACTTGCAAAACAATTTCCTAAGCTATGTGAGCAACACTACATTCTCTACATTATATTCCCTAAAGTATTTAAGATTAGATGGAAATAAATTAATAGATTTTTCCATTTGGAGCTTGAATGTTAATAAAAATTTGCACAATTTAGCTATAGGTAATAATATGTGGTCTTGTAAGTGTAGGTATTTGCAAAGATTTACTTCTTTTCTATCAGAAAACGTTCCTAAAATTGTAGATATTTCTGATTTATGGTGTTGGAACCCAGACAGTTCCACCTCTCAGAAACGGGATTTGAACTTAAACGGAACAATCTGTAGTGATTACTATGCCGGAGACACGGGTATAGATAACGTTTTAGTATCGAATTACGTCCCAATGCTTATAACTGCTTTTTCTGGCTTTATGCTAATAATACTGGTCACCCTCGTGATTTTCTTGTTTCGAGACACAATACGTATATGGCTGTATTCAAATTGTGGTATAAGATTGTTTCCATTCACTGGAGCGTACGACGACACTGACAAATTATACGACGCTTATGTATGTTACAGCCCAAAGGATGACGACTTTGTTATTCAAACTTTAGCTGCTGAATTAGAGAATGGTAACCCGTCATATCATTTGTGCTTACATTATAGAGATATACCCCAACATGGCTCCACGTACATGCAGTGTACTTTACCGCTCCCCGAGGCAGCCGAAGCCTCTAAGCGCATTATTCTCGTACTAACTAGGAACTTCATTCAAACTGAATGGTCTCGATTCGAGTTTAGGCAAGCATTACATGAAATCCTCAAAACTAGAATTTACACCCTAATAGTTATCGAGGAGTGTTCCGTTTTAAATGAAGCGGAATGTGATCCCGATTTACGACCTTATTTAAAAACAAGTTCAAGGATACGATGGGGACAGAATAAATTTTGGGAAAAGCTGAAATACGCTCTGCCGGATCGAAATTTTGGACCTAAATCATCAACTATCAGGCATAATAATGTAAATTCGTTTAATATGCGAGGCAACGTTCAAAATGGTACGATGCGATCGTTTTCTTTTGATAAAATGAGGGTTTCTGCCGACGGTGTGAGCGCATCCCCCGAATACGTAGAAAACCGATCGCAGTATATACAGTCACCATACGGGGCAGATGGTAGGCCTCAATCTGATCATATTTATTCTTCTATCGATTCTGATTACTCATCGTTAGAGTTAGGCGGCGCTAATATCAACCGAAGAAGAGATTTCAGACACTGGCCACCTCCCCCTCCAATAATCGACACACAACAATCGGGTCAGGCTTATCTAGTCTAGTCTATGGTCTTAAATCAAAAAGTATTTAGTCGGAGCTTCTTGTGTATATTGTATCGACGTGCTTACCAAATAATTACTTAAGATTTAACCCTATTTTTGTAATTTCTAGATGTAATCTGCATTCATTTCATATTGTTGGTGTAAATACATTCTATAAGACTGCTGTAGAATATGTGAATTTGTATATACTGTGTAAATAGATAAATGTCCATATTAAGTCACAAGTATACCTATTTATATACTTTAATAAAGCCATTGTGATAATTTTTGCATAATATTTTATTTTTATTTCTTTGTAACCCTTAAACTTCGAGATAAAAGAGTTATATTAAATTACGAAAGACATAAAACCTAGTTTTATTTTAGACATTCTCTTTTCACAAAGGTTGTTATTTTATTTAAAGTTACCCAAATCTGACAAGAGTATACGTGAGCAAAATAATTGCGCAATTATTTCATAGAGTCTTGCTGTAATCAGGTAGAGCGTAGCTTGAATAATAATTTATTTTTTATAAAGCTTTCATTAAAATTTAATTATTTTTTCCCTAATATTTTTATACGAAATAAGGTTAAAAGGGACTTCATTGCATATTTTAATTTGTATTTATATTTGGATGATTATAATTTGAAGTAGCTCTAAGTTTTTCAGTAATTACGATATAATTGAATGCAACCTACTTAGTAGATAAAAACTAAAAATGTCTGTGTTTATTACTATAGATCTATAATGATGATTATTTTTCCTGGTTTAGTTAGACTGCGGTACCTACCTACTTACTACTAAAGCTTAGGTTTCCTAGAAAAGCGGTGCCGTTAACTAACGGCCGCCATTTTACGGTTGTTAATAACGTTTTAACATAATGCAAAAATACATCTTTTGAGTCTTATATACAAAACCTATACATAGCCAATTATTCACACATATTTTGGCCTTAATTCAAGAGTAGCTCAGTAATTAGCCAAACTGTTAAATTGTTCTAATTCATGCAGATGTCTCCGGATTAGACTAATAGGCACGAATTGGTCTTTTCCTGCAGCTTAAGAATCTAGGGCAGGTATTCAGCTGTGCTCCCGATCTGAAAAACTGTATAATTCCTATCTCAAAGGTTTTAAATGAGCAATTGAAGTATGTTTGTGCGTCCTGTAAGCACCCGTTTATGAAAGCAATTTGGTTTGTATTGTGACAGTGACATAGTCATAAAAAATTATTAACTATAAACCATTTATGGTAGCGTTAATTTTCTGCATTTGTTTCACTAATCATCTCTCTTGTCTTGTATTTAGACACGTAAGTTAAATCAGAAACAAAACAAAACAAAAGACAAATTTACTTTATCAGTCTCGTTTCTTTACCACATTTTCCTTCACCTTACGAAAGTGTTGATTAAATATTAGTTCATATAGAAAACCTAATCACTTAGCGTTTCACCTGGATTTGAACGTACTACCATAGGGTTACAGTAAACGCCTATCAAATAAGCTTGTAGGTATTGCGTTTTGTATCTTTTGGTTTAAAATTAAGATATTTTTTCTATATAAAATGCCGAATACATTTGATGCGTTGAGATTGTCTTATCTTATTTAAACATAACAATGTTTATGTTACAATATATTATTTAATTTCAAATTATTATAACGTCTTCACGTTTTACGTTTATTTTCCCAAGTTCCAACTCAAAAATCATACACATCTTGTCATCATATTCTAAATATGGTAATACTTTTAATAATTACCTATTTACACACTAAACTGTATTTTGATTTACGCAATAAGCAAACAAAAGTCCACGCATTCATATCAACGTGCTCATTTCAAAAGATATTCATTAGTTGGTAACTTTTAATAACCTCGGATATATTACACAATGCCGACACTTCATTAAATTGTCACTCACCCGGTAATGAAGCCTCTTTTCAAGATAGAGTTGGGTAATGACTCGCGGACTTATAGAAACATAAACTGTGTGCTTAACCTTGCTGTAGCCTGTATAGAAATGGTTGAAGATACAAGATAGTGACTTACAACTCTGTTGTTTATTTATAAGTTTCGTGGCTATACTATAATTATTATCAGGAATATTATGGCGTCTTAATTTCAATTGTGTTTCTACGATATTAAACATATTTTCCTTCAATCGAATCCAAAGGAACTCTTATAGGAGATTTACAATTTAAGACAAATTTTTGATGATTTTATATTTTTTTATTATTAATACTTTATTTGATTTGCCATTCCTTCCGCCGATCTAAATCAATTATGTTTAGTATGTATGACCAGTGTTAAGCGTGCGTAGAATCCCAGCGTAGAATTTTTGTTTATGACAAAATGTAATTACTAAATTTCATTTATCTCGAGGGCCACGCTGTAAGATAAACATTTTGCAATTTTTGCACAATTCAAATTCAGCAATTAATCTTCTCAAAGTGGATAAGAAAAATTAAATACCGGGTTAAACCTCATTAAAACCTTTCAAACCCTTCAGCGGAGTCTCCCTGCTTCTCGGTAAGGACAATCATTAATTTTTCCTTTGTCGAAACCGCATCTCAAAACTCAGCTTTCGACGAAAATGTGGTAATAAAAAGCTCAAATATTAGACTCAGATAACAGGGTTGGGAATAATTTTATGAGGTTGAAATGTGCTGGAAGATGTTTGGAAGGTCTTGTTTGACTAACGAGGTGAACAAATTAATTCAGCATGTAAATATTGGTTGTCAGGTAATATAAAACTGATTCTTACTTTTAAAAGAGTTTTGTGTTAAGGATACAATATAATGGATAAACAATATTTTATATTAATTTAAAGTAACGATGACCATCGTTCAGAAAATATATAAAAATATATGCCGTACTATGGTACATATGGTTTACAATGCAAACCTTAATATAAATCAATAAAACTAGACTTGATAATTTCAGTTGATATTATGTTACTTCATTGAACTAATGATTCTTGATCTATGATAAATAATTGCTTAGAGTTTTACATCCAACGATTGCGATATAATTTTGATAATAAAATATATGATTTGTAACGTATATATGGGTAAATGTTATTTCTAAGTTTGACTTTAGGCCCTATTTTAAATGACTGAAATGATAATGGCTACTAATAGCACCTAAACCCGTATATGTATCTTTGTCATGATTACTAAAGAAGTTGTAGTCATAAGATCTGGTATATAAATAATACATACACCAATAAGGAGTACAAACAGCCAGCGCCAGCAACACTGATTTTCAGTCGGCCTATTATAAAGTTAAGCAAACATTTTTCAAACACATAGTTGGCTGATGTCTGATTTCACGCGAATACAACATCTTAAATGTATGAAAACTATGTTTTTCTCAATCTTTTATATCCCTTAACGCTTTGTTGAACTTGAATGCCTTTCAATTTCCATTCAGCGAAATTTAATCGTTCCTAAATTAGCGTGTACAACCTGAGGCTGTTCAAAGCTTTTATTACCTACAATGACAGGTTTATATTTTAATAGTCATCGTTGAGTAAACAAAGGGGTAGACGTATCCGTTTGGATTGTAATAATTTAATACTTGATTGTGTCAACGGTCAATAAATAATACTTGTTACTGTGAGAACTATTTACGGTTCCCTTACTAGAAGCTTATCTAAGTTTAATGTAAATTTAGGAGCAACTGGTCGACGTCCAAAGTTTGCGATATACGAATTGTATATGAAAAAAATACCGTCAATTTCTGCACATATAATAGGAAAAGTATTTTCTATTTAATGTTTTTTCACAGGAAGATGTTGACCCTGTCATCATGTTGAAATATATAAAAGATATTATGTGTTGTTAAACTTAAACAGTTATATTAACGATCCAAGAACACGTCGGCTTTAAAAAAGCGAAAAGTCGCAAAAGTCGTTTTATAATTATGATATTTTTAAAATATGCATCGTAAAAAAGGTTCAATATGTGTAAATGACACAGAACAGGTCAAATCTATTTTTTATTTCCGATAGAATAAACTTACGCGCCCAGCTTCGTAGAACCTAGCAAGTATATATTTTCACTCCAAATCGTCTGCAACTCAACTACCAGGTGTGTCCTTTTAGCAACACAGGTGAAAAGACGCTGTTACATGTCCTGACCGACTGTCCAATCTATGGATACGACTTGTATAACGCTGGACAAGCTATGGGATTAAAAGTAACAGGGACGAAATTAAAGGAAATAATGTTCAACATTAGGTTAAGAGGCATCTTTTTGGAATTTGCTGTAAAGGTCATACAAAAAGTGGTTACAAGAAATAGGTAGTAGTGTTTAATCATCCGGGTTACCAATACCATTTACGTAAGTTATTTAATACCTCCGACGGCAACACAGTGGGAGAATGTAGAAAACATTAAAAACAAAAAAACTACCAGGTGACCTATTGGTCACGGCTATTGCCGATCATATCACATCAGGTTCTTCGCCGAGCAGCGTTTTAGAATTCTACTATTGAATAATGCATTTGAATAATATAAATTATTATTTATAGCAAGCCACAAACACAAAAATACAGGAAGATATTTCGTTGAACAGCTGTCCTTGTCGAGTGGACATCGCGAATCCTTTGAACGCGTCACAGACAGACTGAAAAGAAAACTGACTTGTTATTGCAAGTGTACTCAAACTTGTGTAAATAAGTTTGATAAATGGTCGCTTTATGACGAACGCAGTGTTTATTTAGGCACAAGATGACGGCTCAATCTTGTGACGTCTGTTTGCACTATTGTGATGTAGAAATTGCTTGAGGTAGGGCTATATCAAACTTATTTATAACTATTCCGGAAAAAATAATTATTTTTTTTTATTTTTTCAGTTACTGTATTATTGATTTACAGAAAAAGAAATGTTATACTTCAAATTTTAACATAGTGGCCCTCCCACCTATTGGCAGCAAAAGTTAGCAAAGCGCTCATACAATATTAATTTTTTGAAGGAATCGAAAATGCATTACGTTTTCAAGCATAGACAATGTGTGGGAAATA